AACTGAATCCAGAGTTGACAATTTGTCTTCACCAGTCTGACAGATTAAACAGTAAAGAGGTGGAGTTCACAAGGGTTTTTTTTTTTTGCTTCCGTTTGCTGGACTTTTTTTAATAGTTTGTGTTATGTGGGTGACCTTACCTGGTCAATTTAACATGCAATTGCATTTGGAGTGACTTTTAGAAACAAGTCTGATGTAACAATTGTAACCATAATTTTAGTAATGCGTCTATATGTATTTTCATGGAAATAACCAGAATGAAGTAGGAGGTTGAGAGAAAACGACAGCACTAATTATGAGTATCTACATAACGTCTCATTGCTGATTGTCATCAGATGTTATGCAGCACGGTTTTCTAACTTCTTTAATTCCTGCCCTCTCTTAACATGAAAAACCATTGTGTAGAACCACTGTTATAGCCAGCTTGTGTATTGACTGATGTCTGCTTAACCACTTACAGCCAGCACCTCATAACACTGGTTTTCTCTACAAGCCTTATTAAGCTACTTACTTGAGCAACTGCTCATCTTAAATAGCAACAAAGCTTCTTTATTGGAGGGAAGGAAAGTGATGAACAAATTCCTTCTCATCCTTGTATTTTGTGTATGCATCTTGTCTGGGAACCCAGGATCTTTTCGGGGAACCCATCTAATCGCTTCCCTTCATTTCTTGTGTTTCTATTCTCTTCGTTTCCCTAAGCCCTCTCCCTCACAAAAACAAACAAACAAACAAAAAAAGGAAAAAATAAAACCTTAAAAGCTTCTGGTGAGGCCAACTGAAGTGTATAAATGATGGCTTGTAGTGGTTGCAGTAGGGAGTGTTTTGTCATGCAGTTCAGGGGTATGGTTATGTAGTCTGTTGGTATTCTCCCTCTTTCACCTCTTCTTACTCGTGTCATCTGAAATTTCTATAGAATGTGGTGTATTTATTGTGCTCTTATGTAAGATGAAGAATATCTATTAAAAACTACGTTTTCCAACAGACAGTGCTTTCAGTGGTTAGTGACCGGTATTGTCCCTCAACGTCCTCTGTAACATGGTTGAAGCTTAGTTCAGAATTCAGCTTTTTCACAAAACTGACTTATAAAAAAACTGTGTTGAATGTAAGCCAAAGTTGTGTTCAGGGCTCATGACATGTCCTTCATCTTGGGTAAGCACCATTAACCCTGCCTTCTCCTTACAAACGAGCGTGTTTGGCTTTAGCTGGCGGATGTCCCATAGCTTCTGTTAGCGCAGACAACTTTCACTGCAGGCAGCTGAGAATAAGTGAGCTGTAGACGCTGGATTCACTTCTCCTACCTCTTAAAGCTTTACGTTACACCACATATGCAGCTTTCCTCAGCTGTCTCTCGCCCAAGGGTGAGTGACACCCCCAGAGGACAGTCAGACCCACCTAAGCATCCTGTTTGAAAGTGGCTTTCCCTTCCTTCAGTAGAGAAACTGGACCTGAGCTGGCACTTAAAACAATGAAACTTCATAGGTGGGATGAATCCAGACCCAGATGATGTATATTAAATAATACTTATTTTACTTTTAAACCTGATTTAAGAGCCCTGTATAAAGTCAAGCTGGGAATTTCATTCCAGCTTATGCCAAGGAACATGTGAAACTTTTAGGCTAAATTCTTCAAAGCCAGTTAGGTATAACCTTTTCCTCAGTTAAGCAGGTTTGTATTCCCAGCTGTTATGTGAAACTCAGTTATTTCTGTTACATCTGCCATTGCAGCTGATTAGCAAATGCAGCTATCTTTTAGGGAGCAGTAGTTTTATCTCAGTTTTTAGTATGTGTCTACTGGAAATGGGTTTCCTCTACCATTACTGGTGCTATGTGTCAAATGTCCTAAAATCCTGAGCAAGAGTGATGAATTGCATTTTACATGTTGGTGTTTGGGTAGTAACTGTGTAGCTGTTGAGCCTTGGTTGTTGCATGGGCTCTACAGTCACACATGCAAAATACTTTTGCGGTAGTTTCCTGTAGATCAAGAGGAGGGATTGGAAGGCTTTTGGTTTTGCATAAACATTCAGTGGTGGTTTCTTAACGTGTAGCCATGTTCTCTCATGGATGTGAAGTGTATGATCATTTGGACCTGATGGAACAGGTTTTTTGTATTTTGGCTGACTAGTCTAAACCAAGTGAAACATTGCTTCTATAGCTTTCAAGAAAGTGTATTTCTAACACATCGAGACTATTGTGAAACATCTTAATGGACTAGTGACATAAAAAATTGTGACATCTCTATTTATATACATTCCTTCTTGGGTTGGTTTGGTTGTTTTTTTGTTTTTTTTTTGAGGGTTAAAGTAAATGTCTGGTAGGTTTTGTTAATAACATGTCTTGACTGTAATGTAATATGACACTGAAATAAAAGGAAGAGTGATTATTCATTACTTAAACACCGAGCTTCATTTAACTGTAGTGGGCTGCCATCAGTGTGCAATGGAGTTTCCTACTAGTTCTTAACATCTGGTAAAATAAGGAAGATAACCATGATAACTTCTCTCATAACTCACTTTTCAACTGCTGTGGCTTCTCCCTGCCATAGTAAGGGGAGAGAAGAGCAGCACCTCTGTCCTAAAAGCCATCAGAAGAGACTGCTCTGGTACACAGCTCAAAGGATGGTGGGTTTTGGGGTTTTTTTTGTGTGTGTGGTTCCCCTCCCCCCTTTTTTTTGGCCTGCATCTGTTTAAATCTGTCTGGTTCAAGACTTTCCTACTTATGTGCAGTTTGGGCAATTTCTAGTGCAATCAAATTGATAGATTTAGCTTTGCTAAACTGTGTTACATCATGGCATGGGTTAATAATTACATGCCTACTTTTTTTGTAGAGTTTATTGCAACCTTTCCTGTGGAAGTGTGCAGGAAGATTTTAAAGCAAGTATCTAAATGTTATGTTGCATTGAAGTACATTAGAAAAGTGGCATCAAACAGCATGACTGCCTTACCTGTGGTGCTTTCATAAACTCCCCTCGACACTTAGATGGGGTTAGGTGAGAGCAAGTAGAGTGTTTGTCTGCAGGACAGAAAACTATGGGGAAAGACTGCTCTAATGGAAGCAGTCAGCTGAACACTGCCCACTGGCTGATCTGTGTTAGGAAAGGGAGCTGTATGATGCATCAGTTAGCTCTGTTAGTTGCTAGGGAGTTGTTCAGCCGGTCACTGAGACACTGAGTGCTCTCTGCCTCAAGGAGGATTCTTGAGTACTGGAAGGTGCAGTACCTGTGGTTTCTGTCTGTCACACTGCATGAACTTTCCCAGATAAAGCGATTGAAGCAAATGTGGCATGTAACAGAAGCATTTTTATTACTTCATTTTTTCTGAGAAGGTATATATAATTAATTCACATAAGAAACTCATCTCTGACTCCACTACTTGTTGCAAGGTTGTTCCAGATACTCTGGTGGAAGCTGGGGTCTTGTCTTCAGAGCTGCAGTGGAGGAGTATTTTTGGTTCAGGCCTTATCTGCACCTTCCTACCCAAGCTGCCTACCAAGGCTTGCAAGCTCAGTTGTAAATATGAAAGATTTCATGTGTGGTGTTCAGTTGTTGCTTGCTGTAGCACATGTGCTTGTCTCAGCCCAAATACCTGGTGTGCCTTCAGAAGTACTGCTGCTGTAGTTTACCCATCAGCTACTCATTTTATATAGGTAACACTGAAGGCTGAGGCTGGGTACTGGTACATTTATGGAAGGGTGTCTGTGGTCCCATGCCCCATGCACAGTTACCAAGGGCAGATAAGACACAGTAAGGTGATTCTAATGGTGTTTTTCCTTCCTTCAGTTGCTTTGCATGTTTGCCTGCCTTATTCAAAGACAGGTTATGTTAGTGTCCTACTCAGAAAGGAGGAAAGAAAGAAGCATTCGGGAGAATTAAGCAGTTGAATGATAGCAAAAACTCCCTTAGGACACAAGTCTTGTTATAGAGTCTGTCTGGATCTAATGGGTCACAGGTAGGCCAAGAGCAGGGTAAGTGCAGAAGGTAATGGTCTGGCTAGTGTCACGTATTGCTGTATGTGCTTCATTCTGTCCCTCCATCAGAATTGGTGGCAACAAATGAGGGAAAGCTGTTGGGAATGAGTGCTACCACTGAAAGCTGCTGAAAGTGCAGCATGTGCCATTAGGCAAGCAGCAACTGATCACAGAGCAGGCTCATTCAGTGGTCCCCAGCTTCCAAAACAGCTCTTTGAACATAATTTCCTGCTTACTTGAATGAAGAAAATTGTCTGAGAGCATTGTCTGGGGTGGTGCATAGCCCATAGCAATGAGATCGTCACAGGCAGGGATATGCCTGTGATTGCTGAGTTTGCAAGTTAAAAGGTGATAACATTCCTTGTGTGGAACACTGTCCTAATGTGAATGTGGTGCTGGTTTCATCACTTGAGCTAAGGAGGCATTGCCTTGCCTAATGCCATAGCAGCATTGAGGCCAGAAGAGTGGTGCAAGTAAGAAGGTGAGTTTAAAACAAGGTAAGAAGAGGTAAGTCTGCAGCAGCAGGCTGAACTCTGGCAACAATTTCCAAGCTGGGGTGGGTATTAGACATCTATTCCTTGGAACAACAAAAAAAATTACACCTGAGCCACAAATGGTGGTAGACAGGGGGGATACTTGAGGCAAATACTGTCCTGTTACTCATTTGTCCCCACATTGATGGGAGGCACTTGGCTAGATGGACTCTTGGTTCAGTCTGATGCAGCTGCTCTCACTGTTATTGTACAGATATTTAATACACATCTATGCTGTGACTGATATGCATGAAGGTGGCACAAAGATTTGGAGTTAGAAATCTCTTTGTTATGGGCAGCAGCTATGTCAGAGAGCTGTACAGTGAGCTGGGGCAGCAGTGCTGGGTAAGCCCATCAGATGGCTCTTCCACCAGACTAAGTAAAGCTTGAGTCCAAGGACAAGGCAAGAAGTAGGAAACATCAGATGAAAATTAAGTTTAGGTGGGATTGAAGACTTTTGCACAAACACTTCTGTTGCAGTATTTGCAACGGAATGACTACATCATCCACAGGACTAATTTAGATTTTATTCTGGTATTTCTCGAATATAAAAAGTCAAAATTCTTACATCGATCTTGAAAGAAAATCCATGCAAGCAGGTCAAAATGTTTACAACTTAATTTCCCCCCCTTCCCTTCAGTTTTCACTTCGTAACCCAAGTGTCTGTCCCTCAGGTTTTTTTCACAGCACACTTAACAGAACAATGCTAGGCTAAGTCAAGGGTGCAGTAAGCACCAAAATAAGAGTTTTCATTTGAACAGCCTCTCTGCAATAGCTCGGTATTTCTTGTGGTGTTTAAAGCACATCCATTTCACTTAATTCTGGCTCCAAGTGGTTTTGAACTTTAAGGCTCCTTTTTCTTTGATACCACCACAATCTTAACTCGTGAGAATCTCAAAACCTAACAGTCACAAAAAGCAGCAGTACAAAGTACACTGACAATTGCAGATGACAACCTGTCTCTTCCCTTTCTCCTCAGGAGAACCAGATCTGGATACATTGTACAGAATTTATGGCATGAGAAAAATCCCAAATCTGTATGAAATAGGTTTGGCCCATCAAAATAGAGATTCATGTAATAACAAAATGCTTCTACATTTAAATTGATAGTAGAAAAAACTGTAGCCTTCCTATTTTCATTTTTACACAGACCCTTTCTGTTGTCAGATTTCATTAGTACTGAAGCCATACCGCTGTCCCTTTACCACAGTTGTTCCCTGTAGCATAACTGAAGTGTTTTCAGTTTACATTTCAATTCACAAAACACTTATCTTTGAAAGGGAGAAGAAGTCAAACTAAGCAGTAGAGCTTCATTCTGAAGGTTGCATAGAGACTGAATAGATTTATACAACAAATGCTGTGTAAAAAAAAAAAAATGGCACTACTGAACAGCTCAAATGTGTGTGACCAAAAAAAAAAAAAAATCAAAATATTTATAGGCAATCAACTCTTGAGTTTGTTAGCAACAGCAACACTGTACATTTTACATTATTATCAAATACATAATTCAGGAGTTACAAAATAAGGTCATGCATTACCACTAAATCTCATACAAGCTTGGATTGGTTTCATTCCAAGAATCTGAAATGGAGACAACGCATTTTTTTATGAATAAGAACTCAAAACTCGATCTTGTTTTTGCTTTCACAGACTCAATATAATCTTGTTATAAGAAAACCTGTACAAGTTTGCTCAATTTAAAGTGATAAAATAACTACTGAACAAAAAAGTGAGCATTAAAGTGATCAAAAAAGGGAGCTAAATGATTTACTCTTTTAAAGGCAGCTTCAGAGCCAGAGGTACCCTTCTACACCATGGGTATGATTTTAACGAAGATCAGACATTCATCATGCTCAACTCCACCTTCTCCTGTTTCACCTGGCAAAACAGTGCATTTCATAGTTTAAAGTAGTGAGCTGAGCAAATGGTGTCCCATTCTGCATCAGGTTCAGTGTAAAGCAGGCATACCCGTGTGTGCACTAATGAAATAGCAACACTCCTTCCCTGGCCCCCTCCTCACATCTGAAAGGATGGATAAGCTGTTGGCAATACTTCCACCTTTAGGTGCACCGGAACAGTTGCGTGTTCTTTCCAGTTCTGGAAGTGACCTGGACCAGGAGCTAAGAGAGATGGAAAGGAGCATCCTACCCACCATTTCAGAAGTCTTCAGCTTTGTGGCTCATGCCTCTTGTCAGTAGTATTTATGCCTCTTCAAAGAGAGCAGCATTAAGAGATCAGATCATCTGTCTCCCTAGTTTCACTGCATTTACATATGGCACAAGATTGGTTTTCTAAGAGTAACTTGTGGCAACAACCTTTTTTTCCTAAAAAAGTGTAACAGCACAAAAAAATTCATAGCAGCATTTTCCACAATTTGTGTTAAAAAAGTAGAAGTTAACCATTTGTGTATTGAGTAACAAAAGGTTTAAATTACATTTATTTTCCATTTTACACTCACTATTTACTAGGTGGACTATTTACAAAGGTTCAAATGTTATATAAGAGAATGAGCTTTACTCAGAATTAACTTCACATGTGAGGTAGTGGTCTACCTCAACCTCTGTTTTGGCTGGATATAAAGGAGGTACAGTTGGGTTTAGATCCTAGAAAAAATTCAGAAGTAGGAAGTTTATGTGAATTAGACTGTGTTCTTGTAGAAGAAATCATGCACACACACACATATGGAGAGAGAGAAATCCTATGGTAAAAACATTAAGACCAACAGTGGATTTCATTTTCATCTTTATGGCTGAAGAAGAGGAAAAAATAATTAAGAACAGGGTAGTTGTCAGCTGTACCTCATTTATTCCAACTAACTTTTTAATCAAGAGGCCAGCTTTTAGTTGGAAGAATCTAAAGAAATTGATGTTAAAACACTAGAGGTGAAGGATTTAATAATTAACTTAAAATTGGGGTTTTCAGCACACCCACCCTCTAAATAAGACAAAGGAGTATTATTTCCCTACTAGTGTAGTATCCTGTCTCAAGCCTGGGAGGTAGCATTACGAGCTCCTTGCAGGGCAAGACACCTCAACACATGGTTGCTAATAGACACCTTTGTAAGGTAATGGTGCCCCCTGGCTAAGTCTTACTTTCTTCCAAACATTTTAAAATTGTAACAGACTGCAGGAACACTACATGAGATGCTTCTAATTGAAGATTAGAAGTTTTTGGAACCTGCAGAGTAATTATACCACAAACAAAACATGTATCAATATTAAAAGGAAAAAAGTGGGTGGAAGGGGGATCTACAATGCTTTTCACACAAGTCTTCTCACAGTTCATCAGTTGACCAAGTTTTGGTAGCTGCAAGACAAAGTTATTTTTCTTGCTCTAGTTATACATTACATGAAGATTGCATAGGACAAGGCAACCTTTTGGATAACTGAGGCAAGCAGTGCTTAGTGTCGGTATCCTTTGCTCTTGACTGGCTGAATGTGGTTTAGGGCTTTATTGTAGTCACCCTTATGCATCTCTGCCTTCAGCACATCCATTTATTCAATTACTGCCAGCTTAAGATCCTAGCACTTCATCTGTGGATACCAAATAAGAGTTTAGTAAAAGACTATTTGCTCAAGCTTTAACTACTGACTAAAACTCACAAGTCTTAAATAAGCTGAACACCACTGAGATGCATATTTTATTTTAGCAGATATGGAAATTTATATACTCAAGTATTTTTTTAAATGGCCTATTAAGGCATCTTAAAAAAATCCCTATATGGCTTTGGTTTGCTGAAATACTATTTTACATTGTTAAAAAAGAAAAACATGTTCAAATAAATTTGACATTATGACACATTCACATATTTCACTTAGAACGGACAGTTATACAGATGCCTACATGTGATCACAGATGTCTCCCGACGTGATGGCATGAATAAAAAGGTAATCCAAATGTTTATCTCACAGTAGAGGGCAACCCAGAAGTCTGTGCAGAAGTGACATATAGGGAGTTGTTATCTGAAAGAGGGGGAACCCCAGAGTTTCCATTGGTGGGTGAACAGCTCAGTTTCAGTTTTTCCAAATACTCTGCATGAACAGGCTTGTGACACTGAAGGACCTTGATTGCATCTTCTACTTTAAACCATTCTCTTTTCCTTCCTGAATGAGGAAGAACAGAGTTACAAAGTTTAAACAGCACCATTGGTTGCTATCTAGTCATTCACTTTTTCTCAGTTCTTTAGAAGCTGAGGTTATCAGGTAAAAGAGAGTGAAAAGACCTCGAAAGAACTGATGAATGCAAGAGATTCACTCTTGCAAGCTTACTAAAATGCAATTCATAATAAAGCCTCTGAGATAACACTCTTGAAGAAGATGCTGGACAGAAACTCATGACTGTTCATATGCTCCAAAAGCCACATCTAGTCATTAGAGAAAAGGATGATATAATTTAAATTACTTCATACTGCCTTCCTACGTTGTCATGCCTAGCGGAAAACCAGTCTTTAGACTGAACGCGCATGCATGAAGTTACAGAAGAATGAGTTGGTCTGATATCAAAAGCAGAGTTACATACTCAAAAACCTCCACATATATCCATGTATGGAGTTACTGAGGTTAGCATAAGTTTTAGAAAATAATACACCTTATACCAGAAATACGTTTATATTATAAAGTTTCAAGACTTAATCCTACTATGATCGTTCTAGGACCATCTTTTTTTATTTTTACAAGTCAGTCCTTCAAAATTCAAGGTCTCTGAAAATACTTACAGACAAGGTCAAGGATAGTATTATTAAAAGTGGGATTAATTCTATTTTTCATTTGGTTTTACAGCATTACAGGTACTATGCTTGAACATATATAAACTGCTTGTTTAAGATCAAGCATATCAGACAGCAAAACATTCTACTTTTTAAGGAAAAAACAATTTAGCAGTACAGTATTTGGCCTTTAAAAAAATTATAAGCTGTGTCTCGAAGTAATAATGATGTTTATTCCATCATAATACTTAGAATACTCTAATATAATGTAAGAGTAACACAATGTATTGGAAGCAACCCTAGTTATATGTGTACTAAAGAGCGGAAAAACAGCACCCAATTACTTCAGTTTCTAGAACAGAATTGGTATTCCCCCCAAATTACACAAGTTGCTTTGGAAAGAGGAAAGAAGTCTGCTTAATACATTTGTAAGTGTAGCATGAGGACAGAGAATTAATTTACCTATATTAACTGAATCCTCCCAGTCTTCCAGTATTTCCGTCACAGTAAGAACATAAACATATGTCCTATGCTTCCGATCCTGGTTCTGCTTGAATATTAGAAGTAGAAGTTTTAATTCTCAGCAAAACTTACAGACTTACCACAACTATAAGATTAAAAATTACTTACCTGTAAAGGATACTTGCCAGCAAACCCGGCCTTTATTTTAACTAAACAAACTTCTGTACTGATGAGACCCAAAGTGATGGGAAAACAAAAGTTTTATTTGAAACAGCTATTCTGTTCTACTAGGCTAAGAAACCCCAACCAAGCCAAAGACAACGCAAACAATTTTGAAGATTGTGAAGTTCTGACCAAAGTATGTTCTTGGTCATCCAGGTCATCTACACAATGTTGGCTATAAAGTTTCACTCAGTAAGTGAGGCAAATTAAATAGGCTGTGCTTGCACTCATGACAAATGCAAAAATCATTACCAGGTCTTGCTCACTTGACACGTGTGCCACAACTGCAGCACTAGCACCTCTTTAGAAGGCACGTGTTTTGCACAAGGCAGGTCAAACACAGACTGACAGAGGTGGTCTGCTCAGGGCAAGGCTGCTGTGCTGCAGCCAAGTCCATACAAGGCTGGCATGGACATTACTCCCTGCTAGCTCCAAAGCAGGCTAGTGGCAGTGTCTGAGGTGCCACCTGACTAATCAAACCATCCTTCTACTTGGAAAAGGGCCAAGCTCCTAAAAAACCTAGGAACATCTACAATTACAACTATATTAAGAATCAAGAGATGTTATTTCCTAGCTCCCCTTACAGATGGTTGTATCCTTGTTCCTCTATTTGTTCCTACTTAACTCTGTTTCACTACAAGCTCAATATAGTTTTAGACTGTTGTGCTTCACTAGGAAATAAAAATTTTAAGAGAGTTCTTTGTTAGTATCACTATTACATGGAATAGATACATCTATACCATGTACCCTTTCTGGCTGTAGTTCTACAACAGAAGGATTCAGCAGCAGCATTGATTTCCATCTTTGCTTAGTTCCGTCCCTAGGTCACAAGGTGTGGCCCCCTCAGTGGTACTAAAAACTGTTTGTGGGGCCATGTTGTGAAACAAGTAGGGCCTTGATTTAAATTAGAAGTAACCTAAAAAAGTGACATAACACAGATTTTTCTCTTCTGGTCTAGCTGGTGGTTGATGCCTTCAGAAGAACATACAGCTCAATTACCAATGAATCACCATCCTTTGCAGCCCTTGTTTTAAGGCAAAGAACATGATAGGTATCCTGGGTTTTTTTTTAGTCTGAGCTGGGAAATGGAAAATACTTCTGTAGACTGACCAGGAGAGTTAAAACACAGACAAGTTAATACATAGGACCATCCAGCTGTACTCAAACCCAAAACACATCAGAAAAAAGGCGAGTGCTACTAACTACAAACAGGAGCTTCTCCAGTCTTGTCATGGCTTCCATGCTTCTCACAATGGGAACACCTATATCACTGTATCAACTAGTAAGTAGTTGACTAAGTAATATTTCAGACAGGAAATCCCTGTCAGGAATACACTACTTTTGAAAGCTGGGTGAAGATTTGTACCTAACTGAGACTAAGGGAGTTCCACTTAACATACAGCACAACATAATAACACTGGATGTTTTAGGAGTTGACGATTACTAACACCAGTCTACTTCTGTCTAGAACCTGAGCAGAAGTGGGCAACACTAACACTAAAAGAGAGTTCTATCTAGCATGCATCTTCTTGCTGTCAATAGCTCTGATTCTGATGTTTACACTACGAAATAGAAGTTTTGAACTACATAGTTTGCTAAAGGTTAGATTTATCTGTTATCCAAAGCCTTAGCCTTTTTAGTGAATCAAAGCCATAACAAGATACTTCATATACAGACCCATCAATTTAGCTGTGTGAAAGTTAGGGTTAAATAGTTTCAGCAAAATCTAACCAGGGAGGAAAAGTCAAAAGAGCGCCCCAAAGAAGGCAGGTGTGATATTTTAAAAATCCTAAATCTGTCAATGTTGTTGTTGTTTTGGTGGTGGGTTTTTTTTCCGTTTTTGTTTGTTTGTTTGTTGTGGGTTTTTTGTTAGGTTGGTTTTTTTTGTTTGTTTGTTGGTATTTTGGGGTTTTGTGTTTTTTTTTTTTTTTTTTACATCTAGGTGTTGTCCAAGTACTAATTTAATCTTTCCAGTAAAGGTCCAAAATGACCCTGAGATGAGCTCAGTTGGTTAGAGCATGGTGCTACTAACACCATGGTCGTGAGGCTGATCCCTGTATGGGCCATTCACTTATGAACGGGACAAGATGATCCTTTTAGGTCCCTTCCAACTCAGAATATTCTGTGATTCTGATTCTGTGAAATTGGTATAAGTACTTGGAAATCTTCCTATTCAAATCTTCATACATCGCGTAACAACTAAAGTCAGTCAACTGTCTAATGTAGCATGTCCAGTTGCATTGCAAAATTATAGGAAGGTAATACTTATGAACTTAAGTCTGATGTTGCAGTTTATCAATTTTCACAAAAAGACACAAACAAAAACCCATTGTTTTTTAAAACTTAAAATTAATAGCTCACCTCAAATATCCCAAGTAGTCTGCCTAGCTTTCCCTTTACTCCAGCCTACAAAACAAACAGGAAAAAGCATTAGCATGCGATATTAATTAAAAAAACTAAGTGTTTTAACTAGATAGTGCTGCACTGCTTCTGAAGTTTCTAGATTTAGAGTACTTACGAGTAGTAGAGTACAGAAGCTTGTCCTAATGAGTGGATCAAAGAATGCATAAATCTTTCAAGTTTTCCATCCAGACTAAAATACTGTATTACTTACCACATTCTTTGTGTACTGTATTTTATTAAATAGATAAATGATATCCAATACTGAAATAATCCAGGAAAGTAGATAGGACAAGAGATAATTTCAAGTAGTATAATAACTGATCTAGAGAAGCAATACTTGAAACTCCATTGCTATTTTACATAAAAACTTATGTACAAGTTTTCACAATACAATAACAAATTAAACTGTAGGTAGTTGCGTGGATCTTGCAGCATAATGATTTCATGTGTGCTGGTTTTCATATAAAAGTGTAGCTTTTGGCATGTAATTTGAAATCCAAATTTATATCCCTGATTCTCTACATTTTTGAACTCTTTTTCTAGCTGGTAATATTACAAAAGGCTTTAAATTCAGAGTTTTATTCCAGCATTTTAAAACAATCCCTGTGTGTATCAGCCTGTGCTTAGTGATTTTTATCAATCCAGTTCAGGTGGTCATTACTTTCTACTAAGATTCTAAGGTTTGCTTTTCTAAAAGTAATACATAATGCCTTTTCCAACACACATAGCTTATGATCATCCATTAATTCTAAACAAAACTCAGTCCATACGCCTGAGACACAAAGGCATATGTTGCCTACTGGCAGACAAAGCCATATTTAGATTTTTTTTTTTGGCTTGTTGTATAACTGATATTTGAAATAGGGCTTCCTAGCACTAAGATGACATTTTCTAATCTTTAGTCTTTGCTTCCAGCTTTAGCCAGAGACAGTTATTGATGTCTTACATCTTTATATAAAGGAACCATATGGGTCTTAATTACATTTTAATGAGTACCTCTGACAAATCACTGGACAGGCTTTAGCAATAAGTCTAATCAAAGTATTACAAGTGAATGTTTTCTGTGATTGTCTTTTTAAAGAAAGCAGATGGCTGGTGATATTTATTAAGCTGTTTTGATAAAGGAAGTCTGATCTCAGCCTGTGCAACTCAAACATTTTGCTAATCTAGAGCAAGAGCTAGACAAGAAGTTCATGCAAAACTATGTTTGTCTGCTGTGATGACCTGTAGAGCTCATGAAGCTGAAATACATAACTAGACCTGCTGGATAAGTGATTAGGCAGCACATTAATTAGAAAAGTGGCAGGCCCTTATTTTGGTCTGAAAGAGTAAGCTATGCAACAACAGGTACTAAAGACTGCTTGTGCTTTACACTAGGTAATGAAAAATCACTTATAAGCCTAAAGGAACGTGATGAGGAAACATTAAAGTTTCACTGATCGGTCCTAATTTCCTCAACATTAGAGTATCTTTTAAAAAAGAGAAGCAGAACCTAAAAGACTACAAACTTATGCTTCCGTTCTCAATTTTTGCTTTTCTCATTCAGCACTATCTAGAATTATTATATCCTTCAGATTTCTACATTGTGGCAAAGTGAACAACTAGAAAAAGCAATTTCCCATTATCCTGTTCCATCAAAAGCACACGTGAATCTGTGGGATTAGTGTTTTGGTTTTTTTTTTTTTAATACTTTAACTGTCCAAGTGTGCAGCTTGAGCTGCACAAGTTTTGTAACTTCATTTATCTCCTGAAGTTGCAGCAGAGAACAAGATTGTTTAATATGCTGAAATATATGGCATAAAAGCATGACAGCAAAGCTGGTACAGACTGAAGTTTCTCAAATGTTAAAATAAGCTTTTCCAAGTACGAGGAAACTGCACTAAAGGAGACTATGCTCCATCAGAGGGAGAAAAAAAAAGATGACTCCTCACCTCAAACCCAAATAACTGCCTCCCCAGTCCGTGATCCCAACCTCCCCTCAAACTTTTAATATTCTTTAACCCTTTTAGAAGTCCTGGCCAAGGCCTTCTTTACATTATAAAGATTTTTGAAGGCAGGTCTATGGCAACAGGACTGTGGAAGGACAAAATCTCATCATCCACAGACGGAGTAGGGCTTCTCTGAGTTGCTAAGTGAGAGTCTGACAACTAGTATTTAACATGTGGCAAAACCACCACAACCAGCTAAGTTTATCAATACTGAACAGCTTTCATATACAAGTTTTTTCAACTTATTAGCACCCCATAGTCACAATGTGAATTTATCAATGTTACTCTAAGTGGAATTTATTTAACAGTTTCTTTTTTCTCCCTCCAAGGAAATCAGTTGTTTAAACAAATACTCTTAGCTGAGTAATTCAGAATGAAGTGATTAGAAGAACTCCATTACATTAACTGTAAAAACTCTGCAAAGCTTGTAATGAAGCTCTGGTGCAACCAGATGTTACTATATAAACGTGATTACTGTCACTGATGTCTAGTTACTCTCTAGACAAGGATACATGCTTCCAAAATGTAGCATCATTCCTGCTAACAGCAATGTCTTTTGAAAACCTCTACACCCACAAGTGTAAAAAGGGTAGTAATTAGAAATCTCATGATTTTTCTCTGAAAGTAATATATTCAACTCAATAATCTTCATAGTTTTAAAAGTACCTTAGTTTTGACACGTTCTGAAGGAACTACATTACAATAAGAACTTGAAGGAAATTTTTTTGTTAGCAAAAGCACTTAAAAGATCACTGTCAAATTTAAGTGCCAGAGGACCAAGAAACGCTTCAGCTTTATCCCCAGAATGTCAAATGAAGTTCCCCATTTCCCACTAGTAAGCTTCTGATCCGATGCACTGGTTAAGTTCTAGACTTTGAAGCATTTTGCCTCCCATAAAAACATACTTCTTCCTTTGGTCTTTATGTACCCATGGCTGTTAAAATATGGCTCTTCAAGTAAACAGAAACCTATAGGCTGCTATAAGCGTGTGAGGAAGTCTGAACTTTGGGAGAAAAATCTGAAAACCCCTAAGCACTACTTCTGACAGGCAAGCTGTTAAATTAAGTGCTACACTTCTCCAGAACAATTACCTAAGGAAGTCTGAGTACTATGGAAATAAGACCCCAAATCTGAATTTCATGCATATATTTTAGCATTAGTCTAAATCCAACCACAAGAGGGAAAACTATCCACCTCATCCCATAATCTTTCTGGCCTGGAGGTCATTCCTGCTGGCAGCTCTAAAGGTACTGCAGTCTCAGATGTGCGTCAGACTTGCCTTTATCCTGTAGATGGAGCAAGAGTCATGCTGCAGTTTAATTTTTAAGCTAACAGTCTACCGGGGCAAAAAGTTGCTTAAAATCTGAAAAATTTGAGTTATTTTTAACTCTGGGATGTGTCGGATAGTACTTTAATGGCTACACTCCTGAAAGCACAGTGCAAGATGATTCTTGCCCCTTTTTTGCATATTCTTATAAAACAAAGCATTTCACTGTATCTGCCATAATCTTTCAGCTGAAAGGGTGCTTTATTAATTTATTCCTGAAGTGTCTACCTAGTCCTACTCTGTAGCATCCAATCATTTTTAAAATATCAGATGCTCACTGGAGCCGATTCCTCTATTTCCTGGGAGAGGTCTTAGATAATATTACTGCCATTTTCACTGTTGCACCAGATTAACCTTCAGGATCAGCCTCTTCTTCTCAGAAGTTATATTCACACAGGTCTGGAAATTGCATATTTTCTAGTGGGCATTTCAATATACCACTAAATACAAACAAAGCAAGAGTGTTTTTTGTGAGATGGAGCAAGAAAAGGGAGTGAGAGGGTGCTCCTCCATTGACAAGGCTGGACATCATCAGCTTGTCACTCATTTGTGTCATTTTTCTTTTAACAGTGCACGTGCAATCAACTTACTTTCATCTTTCATGCTATGCAATTAAAGACTAAGCTCCAAATTCATTAACAGAGTAACTCCTCATTTAGAAAAGGTTTAATACCTTTAATACCCTTAGATTGCTTTATACTGTAACTTGATTTTGGTACTTTGCTTTCAGGTTTGTAAATGTTTACTGTATCTAAATAATTAAGATAGTCTGTCAAGTTCTTGTAACCTATGAAATGTCAGACAAACTTAAATGAAACATACTAAATATTCAGTAGAGGTAAAACCCCATATCACTAACATGAACAGAACTTAAGGATGAAAAAAAAATCTGGAGTCATGTACACAGGGAGACTATGAAACAACTGCTGTCCATGTAGATTTGATCTTTGCTTGGGTTTTAAAACAAAGACTTTAAATACACTACTGTTGGTGTCAAAGCGAGGGATATTTAAAGCCAGTGGGCTATCAGCACTCCTACCATTCAGAAATGCCATTATAACACTATGATTTTATCCATTTAAATAAATTAATAGAAACCAATGCTTAGTTTGTGCATGACCCAATACTGAAGAAACATTTCAAACCACTGCCAATGTGTGTTCTTTGCAGTTTATTCATTCACAAAACTCTTAACAGTTCACTGTACTGTAACCAGCTTGCCAGGTGACATTGACCTCAGTATAAAAATAGAAAGGACATCTACCTCTAGAAAGGTCAGTATGAATTTCCATGGCTCAAAACCCTAAATAGACCTGTTTTTTCTTTAAATATGGCACTTTCCAGTCTTGTGGAAGCACTTAAGATTCAAGAATATGTAGTTCAAGAATATTTTAATTTAAGGCATGAGCTTTTAAGGCTGATCAGTTACACAAGCTATTAAACCCCAGAAACTCTGAAGGTGTAGAACAAATGTCACCAAATGATTTTTGCTTATTAAAGCCTCTAGCCTTTGAAAAGTCTTTCTGTGCTTGCAAGCACAGCTCAAGGCTGAACATGGCAGGCACTTTGTGTTGTACTCCAGATTATCATAAAAAGCATAGTCCCTTCAAGATCATCCATTCTTCACCATCAGAGGAAAACTCAAACATATGACTATAGTTCCGTCAGCTCTAGTTTGACATGGAGTTGGCACTTTACTATCGCTCATCTTGGGCTATGCCTTAGGTCAGATCAGCAATTAAAACTACTAGTGTTCACAAGAACAGGACTGTGCTTTTTAATCCCACCCATTGAACCTGTGGCAGTGGGAAGTGCCTGGAGTTTCTTCAGAGGTGCTACTACTGCTTAGAAGCCTAAATATTTGCTGACTCATTCCTAGAACCCTAACTCTTTGCTCCTTTCAAATGGACTGCCTTGTAGCTGAGTATGTCTTGTGTAGGTCTAAATTGGCTCCTCCAGCAGAACTGAACACTGTCCAGAACAACTTTGATTGAGTGAGGCTTATTTATGCTTTAACCTTGCTGCACGAAGGCTGCTAAGAGCACTGAATAGCGAACTAGTCTGTTCCCTATATAAGATGGGAGGAGAATCATTGACTCACAGTTCAGAGATCTCATTTTGACACTGAATAGCAGGCAGCATTTGGTATAAGTCACATCTACATCAAGTTCCTAAGCCACAACAACACAACAGAACCAGTCTTAAGGCTAACCAAACTAAACCAATAGATAGCACAGCTAATAAAAAAAAAAGTCATTCCACATACTAATTAGCAAGAACATTAATGTATTTTGTGAATAGCAGTAGTCAAACTGGAATGAGAAAACTGTTTAAGACTAGTAGAAATCCTGTGGTTCACTCACTTGCCAGGATGCATCCCCTTTTGGCAAAATCTTATACCTCCTATTTACAAGTATGACATTCTGATTTTTCTTTCAGTTTTACTTGGCTTAAAGTAACATTTAACATTTTTGACAGTTTTCCTAGGAAAAATAAATAGCAAATGAAACCCCAGAATTTTGAATTTGAAATTTAAGCATTGTACTGGAGTGGGAAACTGCCTGAATTCATCACAACTTAAAGCTCTGTTTTGCCTAGCCATAGGAGCAGAGACAGAAAGGCAAACTATGGTGCTTTCTTTATAGATAAACAATCTTAAATGTATGAATTCTCAACTGCTCAGATAGATCAGCTTCTAATCTGCTTAGCTTGGAATGTCCTCAAGGCTCTCTTTATTTCTCTTTTTTATGCAGATGCACATTGATGGTTAGTTCATCTTCAGTCCATTCTAGAAGAGATGCGACTCAAACATTTTCTTCACAAACACAGAAATGTTACACTACTAGAATATGTCATTTGGCATAAAGTCACAGTTCCACTTCCATTAAGTGTTTTCATAAAGGTAGACAGAAATTTAGCTATGCAATGAAAGAGTGCTGGGAAGCAAGCTAAGTTAATTAGTTCACCTCACCACACTATACCTCCGTTCTAACATAGAACTACAGCTCTTTGAATTTGACAACCACATAGGTCTCAGTCAAATACTGGATAAAAGAGGCAGTTGCCTCTTCCTTCTTTGTTCCCATCTGAAGATAGTAGTGGGAAAAAGCAGCTGGATTTTTTGCTTTGTTTTGTTTTTGTTACCTCTTCATACACCTCTCTCACGGCTGCTCCCCCTGGCTCTTCTTCCGGTTCCATTCCTCCACCTGGTACAATCCACTGATCTGGGTATCGGCTACTGCTTACCAACAGCACCTATAAATAATTGCAAGTGACTGTTAAATACAGCTCGCAAGTCAGGAATATTGCTACTATCTGCTTTTTCAGCAATGCATTTATGCACCTAGCCAGGTGGATTGCAGACTTTAGAAATGAAACATAATAGGCAACCAGTAGTTGTAAAAAAGGTGAAATAATTAACATCCAGTCTTTTTAAAACAACTTAGTCAAGACAATGTTGTTGCAATCTCTTTGTACAAACACTTTCATTGGATGCTTAGACACAATGTGAAAAATACAGAAGACAATACGCACAGGAATGAAGGCATACAGCAAAAATCTAGTAACAACTCTCCAATACTGAGCAAGTCTTCAGATCATATAGATGAAAAAGCATGAAAATTAAGATATTAATGAAGTTAAACTTCACATAGAAGTGTAACTAATTCTTCTGGAATGTCATCTTCTGGATAAAAAAAAAAAAGACTTCTGAAAATAATTCTAATTTTTAGTCTGAAACAAGCTTCCTTTTATGTTACTGAAGTGTTACGTTAGTATGACATGCTTACAATATTGCATAACTAAAACACAAGGAGAGCACTTCATTGGCCTTTCTCCAATTTGGCTTCTTTTAAACATTTATGTAAGAGGAAAAACCACAACACACTGAATTTGATTTTTAAATTTAATAAAAATTTTTTCCCAAGACACTTTAATTTCACTTAATTTGACTCTAACTTGGTCCTATCCTTGATATGCACTAATTTAACCCCCCTGTCTATAGGACCTGTCCTTCATAATATTCAGAGCTGAAAAGATTTTATCTACCTGTCCAGCAAACTGGAATGCCTTGTATTTGGAGTAATTTTGCAATAGAAGTTGATGAAAATAAGACCTTGATTCAGGACCACATGGAAATAAACAGTTTAACTGGTATTTGAGACACATCGCAATTAGTAAGACACAGTCATCTGTGTAGTAAAACGCTTCATATTCTAGGGAATACTTATACAAACTCTACCCTGAAGTCAAAGGACAACTGTGGAGAGTATAAGGGCAGGGTCAGCGCTCAAATCTTGTAACAGCAATTAAAAGACTAGCAACAAGAACCTCAGTCGAAAGGTTAAAGTTTTAACTGGTGCCAGAAAACTGAAGTGACAGTCCCAGGCTTCACCAACTACCTTTATGGACTTTAAACTTATCCCCTGCTGGATTAAGTAGGAAAATGACTCCCTGATGACAGCAACAGTGAAACGATTACCACTTACACTATGTCCCTTTGGCACTCATGGAAATAGGTTGTAGGTTCACCTACAGGAACTGGGGAGTGTAATTAAGATGACTGCATACTTTGTGAATGCAACAATGCATGTGCATACTGAGGTGCACCTGGAAGAGCCTTATCTGATAGGTACCATCTTGTAATGTTTACCTTATGTGCAGTCAAGATTAGTCCTACACTGAAGGATTCTCCACTGTACTAATTTCCTCTCCATTTTTTTCCTACGCTAAATAAGGAACACAGCAGAGTTAGTACAGAAGCATTCTTAGCATCTGATCTAAATGTTCATTTTTTTTTCAGTCAACTCAGATATTTTACTCAACTATCTAAAAACCTAGGAGTAGTCAGCAAAAGCAACAAGGTTAGACACAAATGCACCTCAGCTTGATCTTCACAGCCAAAGGTTTTGATTTCCTAGGATTCTTTCACATTAACAAGAGATTTCCAAAGCGTACGCAGCTCTACTAACTGTAATTTAGAAAAATTTAGAAATTTTAGAAAATTTTAGAAAAAATTTTTGAACATCTAGGTGAAACACCTATATCACTACAAAGAACCACCATGTCAGCAGTACTTAAAGAACAGTTGTAAAATCCAAGTTATGAATTCACTTATGGGAGTCCAGATATAAGCATTACACATTATTTTCTGCTGATGAAGCTAGCATTCACTCCAGTCATGTGACAGGTAGCAACAATAATTAACAAAAGGACATTATATCACATTAAATCATTCCCAGCTTGGTAGAACAGTTTTAAATCAGCATTCATTTTTTAGTTAAGGCTAAACATAAAATTCTTAATTGCTACTATGGGATAAATCAGGTTTCTCATTCTGGCAGTGTAGCATAAAGCCAGGAATCTTTTATGCGTTTATATATAGTAGTTGACTACTGCTAATATGATCAACAGACTATTAAGCTGGGTTTGTACATCTATTAGCTTTAAATTACCCTTTTAAAAAGCAGAAACAAATAGATCTAGCAAGTAATCAACATTAAAATACATTAACTCTTGTAGACAGGCTCTACAGCTACACATACAATGAACTCCCAAGCATTACAACCTGGGAATTCATTTTAGCAACTATCCAAATCTCCACTAACCCTGGAACTGAATCATTTGCTCACGCGTATTTGCTTCTACACTTTATTCTCCTACTGCTTTTACAGAATCCAAGGGGTCACACTAAGATATATCCCTGAGACCTTCAGATGCACAATTTTTTTCATCCATTAACATTATCACATGAAGCCACCAGGACATGAAGCATCTATCCTGGGGTATGCTATCAAAACCATACTTGGTGGTAATCAGATTCTGCAACTGCTGAGAGCTGACAGCTGGCAGTTGCAAGATTGCATAGTAAGGCTGAAAAGCACTCCACACAGATTCTTTCAGACACGGTATCAAGCAGTCTTGCAATCACTTCCAAGTTTTTGGTTTCGGTGTGTTGTTTTTCATTCCATGTAGTGAATGTAGTTTTCAGGTCTTTCCATCTGTAAGTCTCCAGAAGAGACATCCTGAATTACAAAATCAGCAGCAAAAATCCTGCAGTTCATCTTCCCTTAATAGAAGATAATCAAACTTAGATAGAGATCTAGGTTGCCTGGATATCCAGTCTTTTATGAGGAGGTTCATGGTCACACAAATTACAGTAGTCTACTGAAAAAGAAGACTGCAGAATCTCACACACCTGCATTTTGTCTGGCTTATGCACACCAAATTTTACATCATAACCTCATTAGGGTCAAAAGAAAAAAGTGAAAGTTCTTCCTATGCAGATAAATCTGTATCCCATGCAGATAAATCTGTATCACCAAATGCAGAACAAGGATTAAGGTGTCTTGAGTTGTATTACTTGCTAGGGATCAGTGCCTCTCCCATGTCTCTGAAAAAGGCTTACTCTTGATAACTCTTGTTCAAAAAGTTTACAGAGCATTGACATCAAATCTGCTTGTCTGGTTATATTGCTAAGTTTATTTAACTCCAAAGACTAAGGTAAAGATATAATTTCCATAATGCTGCCAAGTGAGGAAGTAAAGCTGCAAAATTCAGCAAAGAGGAAACAAAAGAAAAATTCTTCCACTAAGTGTTATTGCCAAGTTCCACCTTGCTTTCAAGTTCAGAAATAGCAATGACCTTTGAGTGCAGTGAGGAGGAGTAACTGCTAGTTCACCTACTTGTAATAAGCACCTATTGATACACATAACCATGATATGGTTAACCAAAAACCCAAAGGTAATTACAGTGCAGGTGGCAGCATGGAACTTGGTCACTATAAATGCTAAGCCTGCAGACAAACAACTGAAAATTTCTAAAGATGCAAAAGTTTTGGCCTGTTTAGTGTTCTCAAGTCAAAAACACTTGTGAAACAGCAGTCATATATTCCAGAAGACCAAAATGGCAACAGCTCATAGTAGTACAAATTACAACACAAGCTATTCCTCATTATATTTTTTTCCTATTAAGCAGTAGAGAAGTAGAATACGGTTGAAGTTTATATAAAATATCATTGCTTTCTATCTTCTTTAACTGTAGGACAAGATAGCTTACAAAAATAATTGTATTAAAAACCAACTTACATGAAAAAACACAGTTAAAGTTGAAATTTGCTAGACAGAACAAACTCCCCCCCACTGGATTCTTTTGATTTCAAAACAAAGTCATCCACAACCTGAAGTAAAAGGAAAAACAAGCTTACAGTTGAAAATGTATCATTCCAATTCCACAATAATTGTCATTAGATGTAAGTGCTCCACTCCCAGCCTAATTACATCTATCCCTCTCTTCCCCACTGCACAATCCATTTTTTCCCCTTACATCACTCTCACTAGCTACATCCAGCTTGCTGTTTGAATTACCTGATGGAGACAGGCAAGTCTGCCTTTTTTTATATTACAACTGGCAGTTAAAAGGAATAATGTTGAAGAGAAATGAATCAACCTCTCGCTCCCAAAAGACCACCGAGCATGTGTGACTCCGTTGCAAAGAACACCACATTGCTGAGGTGTACTACTCAACACTGCACAGAGAAGGAAAGGAGAAAGCAGGTGCAGGGAAGACGAAGGATTTAGCTCCCAAGCTCTACAAAGCTGAGTACACACAAATCATTTCAGAAGCCTTTAACTGGTCAGAATATAGGAAAGATTGTAAAGGCATTAAAAGGTACCTCTCAGGTACAAAACAGTGTCAAAATCCTGAAGATGCTTCTGATGCCTGTACATCACAGGCATCAGGAGCATTAAGAGGAAAAAACATCCAAGCCTACTCTGAGAGAAAAAATAGGAGCCATTCTGATGGAGGTTAATATAATCTAACTTAACACACTCAGTGTGGAAACTCAGCCTACGTGGTTGGTCTGCTAAAGTTACAAGCATCTGAAAGAGTCAGAAAGATGGTTTAATCCAAATGCAGCCAAAAGGGTCAGTCAACCCCTATGATTTGTTTTAAAATGGCCATAAACAGATGCTCAGGGAAGAATACAAACAGTAAATATTTTATTATTCCCTAACACTTTCAACCTCCAATTGTTTTCAGCTTAGGAGCTTCCTAAACAGCACTGGGAAGCTACTCTGAATGCTGCAACACAGGAACACTATTGAGAAGCAAGGAAAAGCACCTCTTACAAACACTGGATCACATTTCCAGAACTCACTGTATAAATTCTTAGGCAAAAGCATACATCTTGAATTAAAGAGCATATGTCAACCTGCTACTGTGCTACTGTAGTTAAAAGATTTCCTTTATCTAAC